ACAGAAGAGGTGGGATGCTGGACAGGAAGGAATCATAATCCACTGGGACAATGGACTTCTTGGCAGTCTGGATAGATGACTAAGAAACTCTTTAATGCTTCAGTGCCAAAAGATCTCAGGATCTTGGTGCAACTTGGAATTGGGAACCCAAATAATGGATGGAAGTGCTTATCTCCAGCAGCCTGGTAGAATGGGGCTCAGAGTCAGATTTAAGGTGATTAAAAGAAAATAAAACAACACATTATTTCTTGTATCCCTAGAGTCATACCCACTACAGATATTTGGATATTTGTCTCTAAAATAACCGTATTTACTTTTTATCTCTAATGTTTTATAGGTCAGTGGTGCCCCACATTTTCTGAACAAGGCTAGCACCATTGGAATAAGTATAAAATTTTCTAGGTGGCCATTTGAAGGTCAGTTTTCTTTTGCCTGTATAGATTTTTTTTTTAAATTGAAATATAATTGACATAACAAGGCCTGTATACATTACTAATAAACAAAACTATATCATTACTTTAAAAAAAAAAGTTGCAATATGTTGTTTAAAAAAAAAACACACCCTTACAGAAGTGTTTTTTTCTTAATTCAATATATTCTAAAATCCACTTAGTGCCTCCAAAGTAGCATTTTTCATATAATAGAATGGGATGGTTAGGATAGAATGGACTAAAAGAGGAAAAGATTGGATTACTCATACCAACCCCAGAAAATTAATTTGCCTATTCTTGACTTCATTAAGCTTAGCTTCCATTTAAATCAAATTTTTCAAACTGCTAGCATCCATCCGGCTCAACTCGGCTCCTGGTCTTTTTGCAGTTAATCTGCTTATTTGAGCTAACTGCGTAGCATTTGATCCAGTAACATTTTATATAATGAAGAATGTAAAGAGCCTCATTAAAGAGCTTCTTTCTCTCCCTCCCCTCCTGCTCCATCTTCCGCCTTGCCACTCCCCCCTCCCTCCCTCCCTTTCTCTCTTTTCTTTCCATTCCACTGCTCTGTTATTTTTCCTGGTACTTAATTGGAAACCCCTCATTTGTATTTTTTGGCAGCCCAGGCCAAAGTTTCCACTGTTGCTGCTACAGAGCTTTACGATAGGAGCCTTTTTCAACACCTCTGTTAGGCCTAGATGGAATTCTTTTCTGATAAATCACAAAGCCCGAATTCCACATTGCTAAAAAGACCTCCCCCCTCCTCCAGGCTCTCCAAATTAAGCTCACTGTAACTTTTCTGCTATTGTTGTTTTTGCTAGCTCTTTACTTTTGGGTGGAGAGAAGATATTCGACCCGGTGAGCCACTGCACACCCGAAAATTCTGCTTCGACGCAATCTCGCACAACAGTGCGGTCACTCTCTATGACTGTCACGGCATGAAGGGGAACCAGCTCTGGGGATACAGAAAGGTAAGACTCAGCTCACTGCACGCATTCTCAAACTGCTGGGCTTAAGGTTTTCTACGTCAAAAGTTCGTTAACACACTGCTTTGATTTAAGTTGTTACCAGACACAAGTACACACATTGGACTCAGACATTTGGAGACCACCAGCAAAGATTAAGGGAAAGATAAGGTGTGCTGCAAGGGGCACTGCTTTTGGCTTTGCTAGGTGTGTGCACACCCATCACAATCACTCATGATTGAAAAATGGCTTTGAGGGCGCCTGGGTGGCTCAGTCGGTTAGGCGTCTGCCTTCGGCTCAGGTCATGATCCCAGTGTCCTGGGATGGAGTCCTGCCTGCATCAGGCTCTCTGCTCAGCGGAGAGTCTGCTTCTCCCTCTCCCTCCACCACTCCCCTCTGCTCCTGCTTTCTCTCTCTCTTGCTCTCAAATAAATAAATAAAATCTTTTAAAAGGAAGGAAGGAAGGAAGGAAGGAAGGAAGAAAGGAAGGAAGGAAGGAAGGGAGGGAGGGAGGAGGGGAGGGAGGAAAGAAGAAAAATGGCTTTTAGCCAGAACATGCACTGCAAATGAAGGGACTAGTCTTAGCCCAGACAACTACCAAATGGAGAGACCATGTCCCCAGTAAACCAATGTACACATATGTAATTTTTAAGAACCTCAAGTCATACACACACACACACACACACACACACATACACACATGCTTATGACATCCATTTATTTATATCTCAGTCTCATTTGCTTGGGAGCTGTTTGGGTTAAGACAATCAGATATACATAAATCCACACTCACGTAAGAGTAATTGTCATGACCTTTCTACAGACTGACCCATTTGTAATTTGGCCAAAATCCTGCCCAAGGATAACTAAGGAGAACTTATTTGGGGAATTTAAGTTTAAAAAATTATAAAGTTAAGATTTAATGATAGAAAAAGAATAGTTCAAAAGCAAATATAAAAAACACATTTTATTGAGTTGATAAAGAGCAATTAATTTTTTATTTTAAAATATCTTCATCACGTTGTCTTTTGAAAACTTTTTAGGATACCACACAAATTTCTTTTCAACTTTTTTGGTTTTTAGGGCAGGACTTCTTAAACGATACAGAAAATGTCATACCCACAGTTTTAATCATGAGATTTGGCTATCCTGTGGCTGAGGTAAAACTATGGAAAGCTAAAGGGAAGATTCTTCAGAGACTCAATATGGGGGACCACTGGTTTTCATACTTGTTCCCCCACTTAATAAGCTTTCTGGTATCCACTTTTCAGGGGCGGGCACCTAAAATTATACTCAAAGGCAGACTTATTTGTACAAGTTTCTTCTGCATACCACCATCCGCCACGGCCTCTGGCAGATTGTGACTCTGTGTCCAGAAAAAGTATAAAACATCATTTGTATCCTTCTGTTTTCCTTATGAACTGCATCATAAATGATTAATCTTGCCAAGCCCTCTTTGTTATTCAATATGATACAATCTATGTGCAATGCAATAAGAAAGTTGTTTTGTTTTGTTTTATTTTTATGGTTATATTCTTTTTTTTTTTTTT